ATGTGTTGCCCAAGATCAAACCTAGGTCCCTGTGCTTGCCTAAGCAGGTGCTTAGTTTCCTGATTTATCTTGCTGGGCCTTCAACATTGGGTATTTTATCTCAGCAATGAAAGAAAAGTAACCAAGTGAATAAATGTTTAATCAAAACTCCTCTGGGCAAAGAGGTGCCTGAGTTCTTCAGATAATAAAAATTATCCCATGGGAAACTGACCAGAGCACAGTAGTCCCGGGTCCCTGCTTTTCCAGCTCCAGGGACTTTCAGCCAGGGCTTTAGTGCTGCTGGCGCTGGGGAAGAGAGGCACAAGCATGGCTGATGTCTATGTAGTCAAACTGTATGCAACATTTTACCTGCCTTAATCCCCACTCCTGCAACTTCCCAGCCTCCTCAGAGGAAAGTAAATCTCTAGTTTAACTCATACTTTGTACCAAGTAACCAAAGTGTTTCAGAGGGGGCAGTAGAAGTGTCCAGTAAAGACTAGGCAGTGGCCATATGCTCCTTAGGCATGTGCAGTCACACAAGTGGGTATTCTCAGTGCAGGTGCCCTATTCAGCCCACAGCCCAGGAACTAGAAAGACAAGTCATGACTGACTGAAGGAGCCTTCAAGGGGCTGTCTGATGCCAAAGTCAACAGCCAGTTTGCACCCAAGAAGCAGAGAGGTAGGGGGGAGGATTACTCTGCTGAATTCATGTACCTACAATCTATGACTGGCAATGGACTACACATCTCTTGACAAAAGTAAACAAAAAAGTGCGATATAAATGACCATTTTGTAGTGAAAAAAAAATATATATCTGTACATACAAAATAGAATAGATATACAGCTTCTCTTAGTTCAATGAAAAGAAAGTTTTGAACTAAGTGTTTAGACAAGATATGTCTGCATCTTGTACTACAAATTACTACAAAGACAATATGCAATGTATTATTATAACTGTCCTACTGACCTGTTGTGAAACTATCTCATTGCTACTTTTCTCAATAAAATTATTTTAAAAATATATAAAAAAATAAAATAGATACCCCAGCTTCTTCCCATTATCCACTACAAAGCTGAGAAAAGTGTTTCTAATCTTTATTGCTGTTGTTCTGCTAACCAATCACATTTTTTTAGTGATTATCTGTTGGTATTTTAGGATTTTTTGTTCTTCGTTCTATAAGGTACCTTACTGCTTCTCAATGCCTTTTCACATAGTTCTGATGTACATGTTGCTAGTAGATTTGATTTTGCTTTCATTACTGAGCTTTTGCCTGAGGATTTGGATGTTTAAAAATTCCTGCCAATTGATATATGTTCCTTTAAAAAAGATAAAATCAAGAACTTACAACTTGTTTTTTTGCTTAATGTTGCTCATCTGTTAGTACATATTTCACTCTTGTCAAAGATCATTCCATTGAAGAGATATCCTATTTAACTGACCCATACTAGTGCATGTTTGCATTGTTTCTCATTGTTCACAACTGTTAAAATGTTGTAATGAGCATTCTAATTATATATAATCATATACTTCTGTGAATGTTTCCATTGAATAAATTCCTAGAAGTGGAAAAAATTAAAAAATAAAGGAGGAAGCCCCTATTGTGTTCTGCCCTCCTCTGCACACTGGGCAGAATTCCAGCCTGCAAGGTGGGAGTCCTGGCTTGCAAGACAGCCCAACCCCTTTGGGATTTGCCCGTGGGTAAACTGCTTTTCTCTTTTGCTACTTTGTGTTCTACTGTCTAAATTTATAGTTGATTCTAACATTTGGAGATTAACTGGATCTTAGTAAAAACACTGCTCCTAGATTTTCTTTGGGTTGCCAGCAGCCCTAGAGAATTCTTGTTTGCAGGCCAAATGTCTAAAGCCCTGGCCAAAAAGTCCCTGGAGATAGGTAAACCAGAACACAGCTCCCCTGTTCATAATGCCCATCTGGGACCTAAAAGATCCTGTCCGCCTGTTGTCAAAACCTAAGCAACTTACAGACTGCAGTTTAAAAGGAAAGAGGTCTTTCCACCACTATGCAGCACTGCTGTTCAGATTATGTAACAGAGCTTTATGGAGGCGCCTGCTTCCTCAAAAATCAAAGTGTTTCTCTGTCAGTTCTGAATGTGTGAACTGTAAGATAAATACATGCGATTAGTTCAAGCGCCTAGAGATGGTTCAGAGCTGCTCCTCTACGGCCGCTGTCCAAGAGAAATTGATGGAAAGACCCAGAGTTCATTCTGAAACTCTGCAAGTTGTCCAGGAGTGAGGTAACTTCAGAGACGAGCACTGGAGAGGATGGGAGAAAGAACAGTGTTTTTGGATCAATCTTTGGAATTTTGCAATTATTTAATGCTGGACAAAGAACCTCAGGATTCATCTCACAACTGGCAGAAATAGCAGGCAACAAATACCCTACATATGTAGGACAGTTTTCAGGACAGCCCAGCGCAAGGTCCAGGTGGATGTGAGCGAGGAGTCACTGAATGGACAGCGGGGGGCACAGCTCAGTCATACTGCTCAAGGCGAGCGCTCTTACGCTGCCTCCATCCTGGATGCTCCCCACCAGCTCTGCGATTAACTTCCTCTGCTCCTGCTGCAGGACTCATGAATAACGGAGATCATTTGAAACCAGCATTCCTGAGTAGATCATGGCTACAGAATTCCAAGTTTTTGCGGTTCTTCAAAGGCTGCAGCCAAGGTTTCCGCAGACATAACTGCCTCTGGATCTTTAGTGGGTCGCTGACCACAAGGCCATCTTGCTTGCATAATCCCAACCCAGAGTGCAGTGTGCACCTATAACGGTTTGATCTTGCAGCTCATCATTCTCCATCTGGTCTTCAGGTCTGGGTGATTTGTTTGCCTTTCTTTTCTGGTACTAGAGCCAGGGGCGCTCTACCACTGAGATACATTCCCAGCCTTCCTCATCAGTGAATTTCTCTGATAGGGTCTTGCTAAATTACTCAGGCTGGCTTCAAAGTTGTAATCCTCCTGCCTTAGCCTCTGGAGTAGCAAGGATTACAGGCATGCAGTGCCACACCTGGCAGCAGGTTAATCTGAGTTGCCTTCTACCGTCTTGATGGGGAAGCATTACTAAGGTCAGTCTTCTAATATCTTCCATTAGAGCTAAGCTTCTTCTGGTGCAGGCAACCAGTTTGCTTTTGTTGCTTTCTTCGGACTTTGTAAGATCATACTTGAAGCAAAAGCTATGGCAAACTCCAGAACTTTTAGCAGTGACTTTCTGTTTGGAGCTGGGGACTGAACCCTACCACTGAGTTGCACCTCTGTGCTCGAGTGCTTACTTTTGAAATTACATCATCAAGACTTCTGTGCACATTAAACCAGGCCTCAGAGCTAAACACATAAAACTCTCATCTGATAAAACGTTGGTACAAAGAAATAGATGTTTATTTATTTTAAAAAGTTATGTCTGTTTATCACCTCCATTTTTCATTCTGCTCAAACACAAACCTCTAGATTATTCTTAGAATTGAGGGGTCTCCTAGGCCTGACCCATCATATACCAAACAGGAATCCTGACCCCTCTAAGGGGACACTTTTTTCTTCTGTGGTATGCACTGTATCATAGCTGATGTACTGAAGTGTTTTTTGTGCTCCTTAAAGAGCCTTAAGGATACACATAAACTCATGACAGTAAACTTTTGTAATGGAGCTTACAGTTGACAGCGCACTATCCTCCTAATCTCACTTCTGAAAACTGCTACAAGACTAGTATGGGTTGGTGGGGGCGGGTAGCTATGGGCAGGCTTTTCTGTGAGACAGGAATAAAGCCTTCAGCAGGGGCTACAGTTATGCAGCTCTTGGACTTCAGGGACGCCACTTCCTGGGATTGCCACCCTCTCCTATTCAAGGCTACCCAGAGGCCATGTCCCTCTATGGTGTCACTCTACAAGGCCAGCTCTGCGTCTGTGTATTGGCCACCGTGATTACCTCTCAGGGCCACGGGTTTTCAGGTATGTACACAAATAAGCTTCCTCAGACCCGCTTTTCCTGTTGGCTTTCTATATCTTGGGAACCAAGCGGGAAGACAAGCTGTGAAAAACCTGAGACTGTCATGTGTAGGTAATTAACATATGCAATGGAAACCAGCCTAGTGTTCTGCACATGCGGCTATCGAACACTTTCCCATGTCCAACAAAAACATCACTCTCCTGCCTACAGATGCACCTGTGAAGATGACCAGTCACCCGAGAACGTTCTGTGAAGTTTAATTGCTCAGCGCACCTGGATGGATGGATACCGCCGCAGGCTAAGGCACGCCTCTGAGCACTCACCTGGGGCATGTTGCTTCCGATCCAAGTGGAGCAGCCCTGCCAGACTCTGTTTCAGACCACTCTGGGGATCCCACCCTCCTCTCCTCTGCCTCATCCATGCTCAGATTTTTGAATTTCAGAAATAGCCAATTCCTTCAAGTTCCTTCTGGGCCCCACTCCTGCACCCACAACCAGCAGTAACCCAAGCAGCCTGGCGCTTCCAGAGCCCTCAGTATGGCTTCTGAAGTACTTCCCAAACCCAAATGGCTAGCACTGTCAGTGGGCTACCTCAGTGTCTGTCCCACCAACTCTCGGGCAGCGAAGAAATGCTCTATACGTCTGTGCTGTCCCAGACAACAGCCATTCGAAACAGCTGGCTCCTCAACACCTGAAATGTACTTGGGGCAACTAGTAAGCTGGCCTGTCCTGAATCTTAATATGATTAAGTTTAAATAGCTACAAAGTGCCTGGGAGTAACTAGGTCAAACAGTAAGGTTTTGAGTGATGTGACAATTTTTGGATAGCATTTTTTTTTTTTTTTTATGAATCAAAGCAATAATAAGTATTTGACAACCACCTGTTGTTAAATTCTTTTTACCCTTTCCAGCTCATCTTGAGTGAAAATACAAAATGAAAACAGCGACACTATGGAATCCACATTACTTTACAACCAATCTGCCTTGAATACAACTAGCAATTTTTAATACATGGGAATGACATAGCCAAGATAATAAAGGCAGTAAAACAAAGAATTAGAAAAATAAGCATACTAGAAGTTATTTATGTTTAATGCCGAAAAGTCTGAATGCACAAACAATCTACCATTATAGAAGTACTGGTGGTCAATACAACGCATTAGAACTATGTACAATGCACAGTTTAGTATCAAAATCTTTCTACACTGTAGAGTCTTACGAAACTGTTAATGACATCAAACACTAAGCACTTAAGACACCATCTTTTTCTGCTACCACATTAGGAACGTCAATGGACAGTCCATTTCGACTTGCAGCCTCCATCCATTTCTAGTATGAAATTATTTTTCTACGTATACAATAAAGTTTATCTACACGGTTCTTTTGATTTTGATCCATAGCAGCAAAGGCACTGTACATCAGCAGATCCACAGACTTAAAAGATTTTTTTTTAAAGCATTCAAACAAACAAAAAAATAATAAAAAAAAAGGAGTCACATATTATAGTTTAACAGCAACAACAACAACATAAAAGATAACACAATGTTTCTGGCACAATGGCACAGCCTGTGTCCACTTCAGGGACATCCAACTAAGACATGGAAAGAACCGGAGGTAAAGAAAGCAGTCCTCAGCCTGGGACCGAGTCCGTTCTTTTGTATTTTCCGGAGGGAGGTCTCGCACACCCTCCTCCGCTGTCCTTGTTTTATGAAAGGCTTGACTCGCACAGCGGTAGGAGTCCTTCCTGTATCTGTGCAGCTCCCAAAGAGCACGCCACAAAATAGCCCGTAATTCTCAGAACAACAAAACTGCCCAGATACACATCTCCTTTTGCAAAGAAAGGTGGCAAAAATATCCACGAGGGATTAAGTTCTCTCTTTGAGGCCCAATTTAACCTGTTCATCTGTCTATAATACAATTTAAAAAGGGAATTAAAAACATATTACAAAGACACTTGTCAACAAGTCAAAAAAAGGAAAAAGAAAAATGTCCAATTAACTCGTATCGAGTATCATCTAAAGCTATAGGTATATTGATTAAAGTTGTCAAAATAGACTCAAATGAATAGGACTTGGCCTGTCATGTTCTAATTGTTCAGCCAGATTTCCAAATATCTTTAAAATAAGTAGAAAACAGAAACAAAAAACCCCTAGTAACACAGCAACATATTGCTTCCTTGTGTAATTATACATTTCACATCTCTATACAGTCAATAGTCTACATTTAGTGACATTTTTAATCAATTATTTTAAACCTTCCTTTCCCCTCCTTTACCAAAAAAAGGGGAGGAAATGTATCAAATACAACGCACCTTCGTTATCAATGCAGGAGCAGACAGCTTTATTTAGTCAGTCATTGTTAGAAAGCCTTCTTTAAACAAAATAAATATATTACAAATATAATACATAATTAAAGATTCCGTTCACTGTTAAGTATGCTTATTCCATGTTCTTCCGAATAGACAGCTGAAGATTTGGTATCACAGGTTCTTAAGAGTATTCACAATTCAATAGCAAGGAGGAAGTGGGGTTAAGGAGGGGAATTAAACTCCACAACTGCAATGAGTATTGGAAATCCTTAGTTTTAGATGCAAGGGTAGGGAGTGACCAGAAAAAGAAAAACCCAAAAGATGAGAGCGCAAAGTGCTACGAGGAGGAGGAGTCCAGCTTGCATGAAGATTTGTCCTTAATAAATAACTTCATAGACTGTGGCCTTCTTATCTCCAGAGCCAGTGACAATGTATTTATCATCCACAGAGATGTCACAGCTAAGCACCGATGAGGATTCTTTGGACTAGGAAAGAAACAGATTAACAAAAAAACATTAAATATTAAATACTAAAGGAGAACCCTAGAGAACTGAGAGGTAGGCCTGGAGGACCTGGAGCAGGTGGGAAGCTAATACACTCTATGGAGCAAAAGGAAGCCTCACTGGGGACAGTGGGTACTGGGGACACTCGCCAGGCTGCTGAGGGACACCGGGAGGCAGACGAGCCAGCAGCAGGGGCAAGCACTCCAGTGAACGTGCAAGTCCCTATCTGATCTCTAGGCTCCAGACCGTAAGTCGGGCGTTACTGCTATGGAGGTCCCGTAGTGCCGTCACGTCTGCACCTAGATGGAGCTTTGGCTCAGCAGACGTCCGTCAACCTGTCTGAGCCCCAGGCTCCTTCAAGGGCAAAGGGGTCAGACACTTCCCGTCCAGCCACCTCTGAGTTCACTGAAGTAATACACAGGAAACAGCACTGAAAATACTGTATTTTCTGAGATAAAGTAAAGATACCAGGAAAAGGCCTAATGTTCTCAGAGTAAAAATAACACAAATTTCTAAGAAAAGAGAGCTTCAGTAGTTGAAAAGAAAAATGTACCCTATGTGAATGCTGTAGACACAGTGTACACCACGAAAGGTTCAATGTTAACTTTTATCTGCACTGTGTTCATTACAGAGATAACAAATGAAAATCGCAGGATGGTAGCCAGGAATCTGAAGAAGCTGAGCACAGCAGGTTTTAGACTTTTTTAAAAAAATTCCAACTGATAATAACCACTATGAGAGTTCAACATCCAGTACACATGAAGATGTAGTACTTACATTTAGTACTACAAAAGATGCCCTATAATATTTTTATTTCATTTGTTTAAAGAAGTGATGGCTGAAATGATCTAAAAGGTTGTGATCTACTATACGGAAAGCCCCGTGGCAGATTATGAGCTTCGTGACAGCGACAGTCAACCATTTTTGTCTTACCGACGACACTGCATGTTTTTTTCACGCAGTGTATTTTGGATACAACTAAAGTAATCTGTTGTGATGACTTAAAAACCATATATCTCTTATATTATTTCTTTTAAAAACAACATTAGATAATAGCAACCTAAATATAGAAGACTGAGAGTAAAGTCTTTAAACTTGCCTGTGATATTTTTCCAGTAAAAAAGAAGATACTACGTGCAGGCACACACATGAACAATTATCTTATCTATTATTTTGTCCTTTTACAAATAATTTCATAAAGACCATTAAGTTCCACTAAGGCAACCAAAATAATAAAATCAATCAAAATTTACTAAATTTTTCTGTAATATTCCCCCGGGTGAAAATTGGTAATACTAATAAAATATTTAAGGAAAATCTCAAGTTTTAAAATAAGAAAGACACACATACTCAGGAAAATTTCACTGAAGACCTAAAGCTCCCTCCCTGACATGGAAAAAGCAACAAAGGTGTGGGCTCTCTGTCTCTCACACACCCCTTCCTGTGCACTGCGGCAGAGAATACAGCGTAACTTCTGGGGTCTGAGGCACACGACGCCCCTGGAGGACACAGGGGAGACTATGGCTAACTGCTGCTAGGCAGTGTGCATGCAGCACCCGTTCGACAAACAAGTCACCCAGCTCGGTGTTACCTGGAATATGCTGGCCCCATAAGGTGTCCTCCAGGCGTTCAGAAGGTTGTCCTTTCCAGTGCTCACAAACCATTTGCCTGTAGGAAAGGGGTTTCAAAAGATGCAAAGTAAGTGTTACCCCTGTCAGGTACAGAAATTGGCCTTCAGAGCACCCGCTCCTCACAGAAACTCTCTGCACTTGTAACCAACAGGGGCTCTGCTCACTTCAGTCTCCCTCCTGGAGCTAATGAATCATTTGCAATGTTGAACTAAATTAATACCAGAAAGCCAGCCACATGGTATCAGGGAGGCAGGCATCAATGTGAGCTCCTGCTACTGCAACTGAAGAGGCCAGGTGAATGCAATGAAGGACCCAGCTTGGATTCAATCAAGGCAGCGAAAGTTCTGGTTGACAGAAACGAACAAAGGAGCTTGCTTACCACAGTGGGCAAACTTGAGGGATAGCACACAGCTCTCGTGAAGATGCAACTGGTATTTGTCTGGCTTGGTGACATGCAACACTTCCACATTACTGTTCTCCATCCCCACTGCAAGCCACTCTCCAGTTGGACAATAGCCCAGAGAAAAGATCTAGGATTAAAAGGGGAAATTGCGGCTATGGAAGATGGACTTTAAAAAACCAACCAGACAACAACAACAACAAAAAACTAGAAAACCAGCAGGTACTGTCTCTTCTGGGGAAATAAAGATAATGTGAATTATAGAGGAAGAGACCAAAATTAAGTGGATGAAGCAAAGTAACCCATGGTTGAAAGTGCCCTCCCTTCCTTGGGGTTCGGGTTCATAAAGCCACAGTCTCTCGAATGTCACAGCACGAGACAAACCTGCGAGGTGAAGTCGTGCTGCTGCAGCTGCCGCCCCTCACGCAGGTCCCAGGACCTGACGGTGTTGTCCAAGCCACCTGTCCAGAGCTTGGTGCCATCATTAGAAATGTCAATACAGCTGGCTCCGTCCGTGTGGCCCTGGAATTGCCTAAAAAAAATGTAAAAATGGAGAGAAAGCCTTCAAAAATCTGGAATTCCATAGAAGTCAGTTTCAAAGCAGGCCTCCTTATCTGTTGATTTGGTTTTGTTTCGTTGCATTTTCTAATTATTCACAATAGTAACAAAACCTATGCTGACCGCTGTCTGCTTGAGTTCCCAATCTGCAGGTTCACAAAACCATGAATGGAAAATATTAAAAAAAATCATCTGTATCACTATGTAGACTTTTTTCCTTGACAGTATTTCCTGAATGATAGAGAACTACCTACGTACGATTTACCTTGTACCTGGTATTATAAGTCATCTAAAGGTGACTCAAAGCACACAGGAGGGAGTGCACAGGTTACGTGTAGATACATGCCATTTTGCATGAGGCACTGAAACTTTCCTACACTTTGGTATCCTTGGCCACCCTGAACCCTGTCTTCCACAGATAATGGCGATGACCGTGTGAGAGACTGTAGGTTAATCCACATGATAAATTTCCTGTGCTGTTTATTTTTAAATACTTAGCTCTTTAAATTATTTATACCAAAATATGACTGTTAGTACTGATGCATTTAAGAAAAGTAATATTAACAGAAGAAAATGCATATGTACATGGCCTCATCAGAGATAATTCCAAGACCTGCTCTGTCTCTGAGATATGGAAGAGGCTGTGAAGACACGTCTTCCTTCTGTAGAGGAGTGGAGATAGCACAGGGGATGGGAAAACACAACAGCCAGACAGCAGCAATCCAGGGACAGAAAGGCTGTGTTCTCCAGAAGCGCGTGGAAGGCCTCTGGTGGGATTCCCGTCTGGGGTTCATGCCTGGTGCAGGTACAGTGCACTGGGAGGGGGCTGGAAGCAGCTCTACAGCTGAGCCCTACTCCAGCACAGCAAGCCTGATAACTGTTTCATTTTGATCTACACATAGAGTGCAGCCCTTCAAAATCAGACAGAGAGCAAAGGCCATTTCTCTTCACAGATACATACTGCCTTGTAGCTGGGGTTGACCACAACCTTTTCATACTCTTGGGCTGACACCACCCTGCACCTGCCACATCGTTGGTGCAGACAGATGGAGAATCTCTAAGACCTCCCCCAGTAGTATGCTACCTATATATAATCTCATTCCCAAATAAATTCTGGTGCTGGCTTTCTCCGTGGTACAGAGAGCTAATCCAAAGTGCTTCAGGGTGAGTGGTGATCAAGGCAGTTCCTGGCTGATGGAAAATGCTAAGGTGCAGTCTGGTGAGACCAACTACGTTCAAGACACACGACATCCAAGACGCACCGTGCCTTGCGAGCCTTCTCTATCAGGACCATCAACGCTAATGGTCTGATAGCAAGCACAGACGGCCAACTGCAGACATGTAATGGTCTAATGAGGTCACAGGACCAATACGTACATGAATTATGTCAAAACGAATCTGAACTGGTGATGCTTAGTATATAATGCCAAGAAATGAAAAAAAAAAAAAAAAACTGCTTCATTTTATGAAGTACAGTTTAGAAAAAGATTTTTAACATTAGTTTTGTCAGTAGCATCTTAAAATAGACCTGTCAAAACAAATTTTTAGTGAGATAATTAAAACCTATCTATTTCATTTGGACACAGATACAAACACACACGTACATACAAGTATACACACAGGCATGCACACGTGCCACACACACGGTGGTTCAGCGAATGGAGGAACATCAGCTCCTGCTTTAAGCAGAACCTGCTGACCTACCTCACCAGCGTCTGGTTGTGCAGGTCCCACACGGCGATGTTGCCATCGCTGCAGCAGGAGAAGCAGACCTTGGAGTCGGGGCTGATGGCCAGGGCGTAGCAGGCAGGGGCCGAGGACGTCAGCTCTGCTTTGATGCGCGGGGTCGGAGCTGCCAGGTCCCAGATGGACAGAGTACTGGCTTCCCCTCCAACAATTAGGGTGCGACCATCAGGGAGCAATCTACAGGAGCGGATGTAGTTATCCCTGTTCTACAGAGACAAAACCCATCAAAGGATTACTCATGAGGAAAGGAAAACAGCATTAACACGAGAGCAGAAATCCATAAAAGTATTGTGTTCCCTCCTGGTTTAATGAGCCATTTATACTTATGACAATGATAAAGTAGATTAATGCTAGAAAATTACATGAAATTAAGGAAGTACTTAAACTTGATCTACAAATTTAGTACTGAGATATTTAATCTTAATTAGCATCATAATGCAGACTTAAGAGCATGCGTGGCACACAGATGTTCACATACATGCACTCGCACGGCTCTGCCAGCCCCATCGTGCCTAGGCCAGGGGCCCTGCACGTGCCGCTATGGCTGAGGACCCTGCTTCTGCAGCCACAGCTCCCAGAACTCTGTTCCTTCCACCAAGCCCCACATTACAGAACAAGAGGGCACTATGCATCGGAATGAAGCAGGATCTAGAGGAGGAGAAACTTGATCAAGGGTAACTAAGGGACAGGAGGAAGAATTCTCCCCAGTTCGTGGGATTACAAGAATCTAATGTAAATTTAATGCTGTCAAACTGACCTAGCCTCCTGATGCCAGAAGGAAGAAACCAGGCTGAAGTGTCCTATGCAAGCCAAGGGTAAGTAAGAGTATACCTGCTAAGAGGATTCCGGTGTGTGCCACATGAAGTAGCCGTCACTCTATGTGGAGACTTTCAGGTACATTTTCACACACTTTCAGGTATAGCACCTCTAATGTTATTTATTTAATGTATTTGGTTGTTGCAGGGTCTCACTACACAGCTCGGACTCATGGTGATCCTCCTGCTTTCAGCCTCCCCAGGGCTAGGATTACAGGTGTGTGCAACCACACCTGGACTCTGTGGCCAGCTTAGCCTGCCTTGAAGGTGGGCTGGTGCGTCATGTGGTGCCAAGGATCAAATTGCAGTCCCTGCAATTGCCTAAGCAGGTGCTTTAGCCCTCTGAGCTATCTCGCTGGCCTTTAAGGTTTTTCTTAACTTCTTTATCAGACAGTTCAGCAAGTGATTTGCCTTTCTTGAGGTTGAAAAACTGTACTGAAGATCGTGCACACATAACCAGCTAGAGATGTGCCTTGGGAAGCCAAGGGAGAAACAGCTGAGGTGACAGCATGCCTCTGAGGGACAGCGTGCCGCTGGGTCCAGCACCTAGTGGTGCTGCTCACACTCCTCCCCCAGTACCCACGCAGTTTGTTGAGTCAGGGTCTAAGTCCTGTGTGTGCCTGCTCACTCACCAGACAGTCCAGCTGGGAGACGGGACTCTTGTTGCCAGGGTGGCTGATGTCCCACACCTTGACGCAGCCCTTGCCGCCCGTGTACACGTGCCTCGTGGGGTTGCTGATGGTGACCGCGCACACCACCTCCCCGTGGTTGAGTGTGTTGATCTGGCGAGCATGTCGGGGGATTCCAGGTCCAATGAGGGCATCAGGGGGGAAGGGGACCGGCTGCATCTGACCATCCGCACTAACGTGAAAGGAGTAGGCTCTAAAGGAGAGAAGACAAGACAGGAAGAAAGAAATGCACAAAAGATGTTACTAAGCTCTTCAGCGTAACAAGAAAGACAACATTTTCAGTGCTACTTGAGATGTGCAAGCAGGTCAGATTTACTCAATACAAAGGAAATAATGCAAGTTTCAGTGATGCTGCTAAACCCATGATCAAACCTCAGGCTGTTACTGGCTACCGGGTATCAGTTGTTACCAACCATCTCTGAACTTCACTTCTGAGCTCTAAAAGTAAGAGGATGTACCTACCTCTCAGAGAAATAAATAAGGTAACTAATATCAAGGACAACGCCTACTCTTAGGTTATGTTATAAACTTGCACTGCCTTCTACAGTGACTCCGAGGCTTGTGATCAGATTTTGCCTAACGATCAATTTACTCCAATCAAGCAACTTAACTAATGGAAATCAGGAAGCTACAACTGTGAAGCTCTCGGGAGCGAAGAATCTCCAGGCATAGATGATGAGATGGCAGATGTGTTAAAAAATTAAAGTCCCATTTCAACACTCTGCTTAGACTTGATAATCACAAATCCTAGTAAACCTGAATGGCAAGAGGACATGAGAAAGCATCCTTCGTGGCAGCTCCAGGGCCCACAGCGGGCAGCCACTGGCAGTAAGATCTGCAGTCCATAACCAAGGAAAGCCCTGCAAAGATGAAATCATCTGATTCTCAGGTGTGACTGAAGTCGGCAGGGGCGTGAGGAGGCGGGCTGCAGGCAGGAGGGGCTGGCTCTACATGGGGGCTGCAAGGCCATTGGGGAAATCATGCCCTGCTACTTCAGTATGGAGTCCGGGCACATGTTCTGTTGATGGGAAGAAGTCTGCTAAGGATGCGCCGAAGGGCACGTATGGGTGCACCAAGGACAGGAGCCTGAACTGAAACAGGGACGCTCAGTATCAAACTGTAAGTCAGTGGTTTCTTAACACAAAAACCCTCAGGCATGTCACGTTTGTCAACATTGAGCCCTTCATTGAGGAGCCTTCATCAGCCATCTGAATGCATCCAGAAGAATCAAGGGCACACTGTGGCATGCAAGAGGTAGGAGCCAGACGCAGAAGCCTTTACTTTCTCAAAACTACAGAGAGCCACAGGAGAGAGCAGCACACAGACTTTCTAGAGGGGAAGGAGGTGGGAGCCAGAAGGCCGATGAGCAGAAGCCTTTCCTTGAGTCAAATCAGTAGGACTTGGGGACACAGTAAATATGTGGCCTGAGAAGACAGGATTCCACTCAGGGATGGGGGAGCTGAAAGAACTGGTGACTATGACAAGGCAGCCTAACTCAATGGTCCACACGCAGGGATATGGTTTTGCTGAAAGTGAGGGCCAATGAAAATTAAAACACCTTCAATTAAGGAGTGAGGCTGGACTAGAAATGATGTATGGTCAACCACAAACTAAGATGGCTGAGGCTGCGGGGCAGAAAGAATGATCTAGAAGCACCTTGTGTGGTGAGCAGCAAATGCCCTGCCCAGTCTAAGTGAAGGCTTAGAGTTAAGGAATCCACAGCAAAAACAGTCAGAGGGACAGATAAATTATGAACAGAGACTATATGCAGAAAGGAGAAGACAGTCAATGATGTGAAGATGTACAGAGAGGTTCAGCCACTGAATGTATTTCTTGAGGATCCTTGTGTGTCAAGCGCTATGCTCAGGATGGAGGGAGAAAGAATCTCACACACTCTATTTTCCCAAGCAGCTGGTGGAGCTGAGGACAGAGTGAGATGCTCACACAAGTAATTCTAAGAAGATCAGAGGCCAGCACTGGGAATGACAGAAGCCCTATGGCACTGTGGGAATCTCAAGACAGGATGTTGAGTATGGGAAAAAAGAAGGAGGAAGAGAGAACAAGCCCATCCAGCTCACATTTATTCATAGCCTCCTATGTTTCAGACACTGTTAAGTAGGAGGGAATGAGAGGAGGAAAAGTCAGCCTGTTTTCACACCAGCCTGCATCTTTCAGGGGAAAATGGAACAAAGCACCAAGTAGAAGGAACAGTCACTGTATGTGCCTTGAAGCTGGGCAGCATTCAACACTGTGACAGGATGTGGGCTTGAAGAGCAAGGAAGGGCCGTGTAAGCTGTGCTAAGAAGTCCGGCGTTACTAGAATAGAAGGCAAGCCACTGGAAGTTTACAACATGACTGTTAAGATACTGAAGGACCACAGTGGTTGCTGGATGAAGAATGGGTTGAAGGTGGATAGATCCAAAAGGGTAACTCTACCGGGGGCCATTTTAGGAGACAGACCAGGGCACAGAGACTCAGTTAGGTGGCCAGAAATAGTCCACGCTGGGCAAGATGCTTGGTTCTTAGAGGTAACAGAGGTGAGACCAACTCTCATGAGACTGAAAATGCAGGTGGTGGGAAGTTACATAGGGCAGATATTCATTAGGGACAAGGCAGCCAATGAAAGTGAAGTTATTGTGAGTTTGTCCATGCGGACACAAGTATCAAGGCTGGCAGTGGGTAGGGAAAGACTAATCCTTGGGCTAAGTCTTTAACAAACTGGAGAAAAACTTCAGCAAGCCAGAAAGAAGAATCAAATGGCACAGGTCTGCAAAGAAGCAAGACTCTTTATAAGGGGCAGAAAAGCTTAGTTCGCCAAGAGCCTGAGGCAGAGGGAACAGGGGGAACCAGTGCATTGTGGGGTACGAACAAACTGTGGGTTAACCCCGCCCCCCCCCCCGAAGGTAGCCTATGCAGGGGTGACCTCCAGCGCGAGTCAGGCTTTAGTTCAGGCAACGTGTTCCTACAGAAAAGCTGAGACTCTGAGGGATGATGACCAAGAAAAAGGCTAACTGATTTAGCAATTAAGAGGTCATAAAGACTAAATCTTAAAGGACAGGAGAGGAAGGTTATTCCAAGTTCAGATGTTGTTATACATTCTTAATGATAGTTTCTTTGAAAAGACATCCCTTTTTCCACTCTAGAATCTTGAAATGGTTTTTTAAAGGTACTTGAGAATTTAAACAGTTAAGCAACCACACATACAGTTCCAGCAAGGTCACTGACAGAATATCCTGAACTTAAAAGCACTCTGTAAGAACCTCCTGCACTCAAACAACTTCCTGTCAGAGGCTCTACGTGAAGCTCCAGAGCCCAAATACATGCAGGACTCAGTGTGGCTCTCTGTCCACTGCTGGCACACGTGCAGTATTCAGGACTGAAAGCCCAGAGCACTTAGCTAACTGAGGCCAGCTCTTCGGTGTGTAACAAGCAAAAAGTAGTGGAGTACATAAAGAAAACCACCGTTTCCAGGAGTCACACAATCTCAGGCTCAGCACCGTCTTGCTATCAAGGTGGATGTCTCAACACTCTTACCTAGCAATGACAGCTTACCCACGTGCTGGGAGGTAAACAACAGCTAAGAAGAAAGCAGCGGGGAAGACAGCCTCGTCCCTGAACGGCTTATGATGTACGGAGGCTGATGAGGCGATCACACAAGTGGCCAAACCACCAGGTCATACTCCAGGGGTAGCAGGATTCTGAAGTGGTTTGAAAAGAAAGATGAAAGTGCTGTTTCATGAGACACGAGGTACTAGTCACAGGTTCTGAAAAAATGCAGAGGATTTATTCAATCTGAAGAGAAACCAGAGAAATCATGGGTTTGAAAGAAAGGACAGAGTTCACCAAGGTGGAAGAAAGATGGGAAAAATACTTCATCAGGCAGGAGGTGCAGAGAAGAGACCAAGAACTCCAACAGAGGCTCTGGGGAACCTCTGGATCACTTTCAAGTTCATTTCCTCAAAAGTGACCTCCAAAAAAAAAAAAATTTAAAAAAAGTGACCTCCAAGTGAGTAAGTGGGGTGACGGTCAGAACAGTGTGACAAAATATGGCAGTTAGAAATCCATGAAATTGAAAAAATGCAATGCTGACCTTCAAAGGTGAGGGTTCTGGGGTGAGAAGAGGGTACGACATTACTGGGGCAAAACCATTACAACATAGATTTGGCTACAAGGAAGAGAATGTCACTACAGTTGGGGTCTACACAGTGATGGCAAACCTGCTAGAGATGAGTGACAAACTGCAACCCCAAACCCACTTACTTATTGCAAAGTGCCAACTCTGCAGTGAAACCCAAATACTGAGGTTCTAGAAAACACAATTCTGTATTAGTATCTTCTGTCTTAAAAGAACATCACATGGGCCACAGATTCACCACCTCAGACCATGATGAAGGCTTGGTACTAATGCAGGAGGTGGCGGTGCCTTGGGGCCATGGGCTCGCCAGCGAGCAAGCTGCACCCTGGGGACTCTCACCCACCTATCTTTCCTTCTGTGTTTTGCAGGCTTTTCTGCTAGCTGGCAAGAGAAGCAGTGTCCTTTGCCACATTACCCCCACGACGTCCTGCCTTGCCAATGCCCAGAATGCAATGCAGCTAATTGGCCTTGACCTGTAAACTGGGCCAGAACAGAACCTTCCCTTCCCATAGGATGATCACTGCAGGTACCTTGTCAGTGGCAAAAAGAGGATACAGGTGAACAGGAGCAGCAGAAACAACCGTCCTGTCACCTAGGTGAGTGCTCAGGGACAGGAAGCGAAGCCGCGAGGCCAAGGACGGCACGATAAGAGGCAGGCGTGCGTGTGCAGGTCTGGAGACCTGGTGAGTGAGACGTGACGAGGGAGCACACAATGGCCGAGCCTCTGGGGCTCAGGAGATCAAGACCAGGTGCTGGCAATTATGAAAAAGTAGGGACATAGGGGGGAAGGACTAATACATGACAGTCATTTCTGCATATAATGAATGTGAGGTGTAAGTAATACACAAGATGCATAGTTAAGACATTCAACGAACAACTAGAAATGTAAGTCTAGACAGGGAATGGGACAGCTAGTGACCCACAACGCCCACAAGCACGCACACGCCCACACACACCAGTGGAAACTCAAGAGTGAAGAGCAGTCCTCGGGTAGACCTGGTGAAGTGAAGAGAAGAGAGCTGAGAAAACTGTCAAGCCTGGCTCTGAGGACGACACTACATCTCCAACTTTCAGTGAGGTCCAATGTGTGTGTTCAAGTTGTTACTTTATTTGGATCACCTTCTCTGATGAAGAACAAGCATAATAAAAGAAAGCTCTTGGCCTTCCAACCTCCACCTCTTCCTGCTGCACTAAAGAAGCCTGGTTCTGTCTCGCTGTGTTCATCCCTCTCAAACATCTTCAAGTGTCCAACACCCCACAGATAGGACTATACAGTGGCTTCATAATTAAGGGTCTGACTGCTATACTTTCAGAAGCATGATAGAAAATTAGCATATAAAATTAGCCACTCACCAGCAGCTCGGTTGGCAATATACACTTGAAGATTTTTACTGTGTATTAGGTATTTTTCCCATTTTGAAAGTCTTACTGTACACAAACAAATGCATCTATGCATCTTCGAGGAAATATTTCTGAAGTCTGAATAGCCTGAAGTGAAGCCCATAAACCTGAAATCATTTTGTTTGCTACATTTAAAAATCAAATCTCATAAGTTATTGATAATTGATTGGTTTTGATCAAATGTTTATACACTACTTATAAATGTCTCACGTAAGCAGCAGCTAAAGTAGGTAGTCCATTTCTGGCTTGTGAAATTAAACTACATAGTCATTCGAACCACCATAATAGGCAGGAAAACTCAATATGAATTATTAGATAAATTGTACTCTGTTCATTACCTTCATGTATGCATTCTTAATTACAATTTTTATAACACCTAGCAATTAATTTTGTAAAAATTACCAAGACAGATACGCAACTGTTCCCTTTCTGGAGAATGGCAATTATTTTGTGAGTGTATGTGGTAGGCAGGTCTTTGCGTGATTTAGTATTTTATATCCTAGCGTCTATAGGATTTTAGTTGAAAACCATGCCTCAAGACCAAGCTTCACAAATTCTGTATCTTACAATAATCATTATGCTCACTTCTGCTGTAAAAATCTGTAATAAAAGTAGGTCATCTCTATATGCGTAAATGAACGGGAATTTGTATCTTGATGACCTCTTACATAAAAAAATACCAAGGACAGAAATTACAGAATCCAACTACTCAACCCAAACTTGTTACTTCTGCCCCAAATACACAGTGCACCTTCTACTACTTGAGAATGTGGGCCCTGCTGCCATAGCTGCTGTAAGTCAGCCACCACGTTATCAAAACCCGTGCTCATCAGCAGCACGTCACCAAGATGTTCATCTACGCACTCCTCCTGCTGAGAAGTCAAGTGAAGCTCACAAAGTCAGGAAGCTATGGCTAAAGGCACTTTTCCTATTGCTCAAGTGGCAAAATCAAAATTCAAACAGGTCTGTCAAAAACTCCTAAATCTGTAATAGCAAAAGCCACCCCACCTCTGCCAGCAGACTTCAGTTTCTTAGTTGCCCAGGTCATAGTTCCTGCTCCAGCTGCTCCTATCTCTTAGAAACAGCTGATCACTGTGATGCATAGCTGATCTCTATGCTACGCACTGTACAGAGCAATCTCCAACTGACAAGCCATTCTGCCTCTGTACTTCCTGCTTGCTATTCCCATCTAAGCCATAGACCACCAGAGATCAGAGCTGACATGCTGGGATTGATCCCAATCAGTGCCCACCGAGGTACATAAATCTGCCTCCAAATCCTCAGCATCATTTTGGTGTTTCTGCTTGCCGTTACAAATCCACGTGGGTCAACATAATCCATCATGTCACATGTTTTTTTTCTTTTTTTGGTAAAGAGTCATTTGCCAAATGCATTAGGGGTTGACTCCTTCATTCCTCAGAACAGTTCTTAAAAAACCCTCCAAGTCACTGATCTTCCCAAAGGGATGGTAAAATTTTTATATACCCAGAGTCGAACTAGAGGAAAATGCAAGGCTCAGAAACACCTCAAGCCAGGTGTGATGCCACAGCCATTCAGCTGGCTAAGCCCAAACAAGACTGCTGCTGTTCAGTTAGATGCAGACAACACACTTATACTTGAAACCTTAAGCAAAGCCAAATCAAGAAGCTGCCCTGTCCAGCTCTGCATGCAGCTGTTGTTACCCTACATAGTGACTATGCAGCACCTGGAAAAGGACCCTAAAGGTGCCCCTCCATCTCTGCCACCCATGACACCAGTTCGCGTGGAATTTGTAGGCATTCATGCAGTTATTTGATTAATCCTATGACCTTGTTATTTAGTCACTGCTTGAAAGGGAACAAACTTTTACCTTCAAATACATCAAGAGTTCTCGGTCAACAAGACTTGTTGGTCTGTCAACAAGTACTTGCAGAAAACACAGGTACACAGAGTTTTATGATAATCGATGTTTATACCTTCAATTCTCAAGGAACTTGAAGTCTCATTTGCCTTGTTTCCCTTATTAATCAGTCAAATATTTACTGAACAACTCGGCTACCGAGTTGGCATCATGTTTGATGCAGAAACGAAGATTAAGGTAGAGTCTGCCCAGGTTCCTACTGGTCAGATGGCAAGGAAAGAGACGTGCAAAGGAGGCACATTTAACACAGACAGCAGCAAGCTGGAATGCACAAGAGGACACATCCAGGTGACAACTGAGTGAAGGAATAAGCACAGAGAGGGTAGACAAGGAAAGGAGCAGTACATATTCTCCTATCCACTCAGACTCTGAGCCCTAACTACGAACCAGGTGTCACATAAGGCACTGAAGTCATTTCTATAACTCAATGTCAAGCAGTGCTGCCCTGGGAAGAGATAACACTATGAATGAACATAAGGAAGATGAGGGACTAACTAGAGAGGAAGAGGAAAGGAGGGTGGGGTGGCATCCTGCGAGAGGTACCAGGACAGGTCATCTGATGTCAGGGACAGACCTGGAGGGAGACAGCAAGCCACAGGCACTTGCTGTACGAGGCTGGCCATTACCAGGCGTCAGGTTTGGACAGCACCAGACGTGGGAAGGCAGCAGTGTGGCAGACGTGTACAGGGATGTGGCGCTGATGACAAAAGGAGGGAGTAAACAGGCTAATAAAGACATAGAAGCTTGGAGGGGGTGTTTCCCAAAAGAGAAGAGGGAATCCCAGTTGGGACTTTAAAGGCAGCGCCAAAGCCACTTTCCAGTAAAGTCCTGTGTCTAGGACAAGGAAGCTGATTAGATAGAGAACTGGTAATAATAAAAGATACACATTACTGTGAAGTGAAGAACATAGACCAAGAGATGGAAAGTGAACAAAACACACGAGAGGAGGCTGGGAAGGCCGTGCACTTTGTGTCCGACGACTCTGGGAGCTCGTGAACCCAGGGCCAATGATTAATGAGTACAAGAAGCCAGCTGAGGAGCTGCATTTGCCAGAAGCAGGACTCGGAATGGGACTGCCCTCTTTTCTTTTCTGCCCTTGGGCATGTCTCTTTCCTACATGTTAAAGTTTTGAGCACCCAGGTTTGCCCATGCTTTTGTGAACAAAGACCTGCCTGAAAATCAGTGACAGACATAAGAGAAGCCCTGGCTGTCAGGCTGCCCTGCAATCTGCATTTCCATGTTAAAATTCGAAGTTTTTAGAGTGAACACACACAATCTCACTTCATTACCTCCTTTCCTGTGCTAAGATACAATAAAACTATTTGGCCCTAGGGATAACCCCAGGCCAACACTGTCTCTCATGTTCACGGTCAGAAGGGCTGACAAAGGGCCAGGGCTCACCACGTAGTGAGCAGAAAAGGCACGGGGTACTCACGGCTTTCCTCCTGGGATGCCTGTCAGGTTTGGAGGTATCGCTGGCACACGCATGTGATGGTGCGGATCAAACCCCACCTGGAATTTCCCCACACAAAATGATTAATCAGTATTACACTGACTTATATATTCTAGTCATCTTTCTTAAAACCTGTGGAAACAGATCCTTTGAAAATGAAAATTCTGCAGATATAAACCACAAGTAATCACTGGTAAAATGATAGCACCTTGCCAGGGAGATAGCTCAGCAGCATAAGCTCCTGTCTGGCAAGCGCTAAGTCCTAAGTTCAATCTCTGGTACTGCAAAAATCAATTGATCGATTGATCAATCAATCAATCAATCAATCATAGCCTCTTTAAGATTGAATGGTTTCACACTAAGAATGGAATAAAATGAACAAAATCAGAAATGAAAGGTTAATTATGTTATTTAATTCTGTGAATCTAAATGTCTAAAATAACCCATTTAAAAAGATGTGAAAAATAAACTTTTTTTGCTTTCCAAAAATAAACAGATCAAGATCTAACGTGCAGTTTTATTTCCAAATGTCTTCAGATCTCCCCAGGAAAATTCATTCTTGTAAAAAACTACATTCAACAGTGGAGGAATAGCCTGCACTCCAAAGTGTCATTTTGTAAAAACATACCACTGGTGATCTTCCATAGGCAGCCGCGGCAGCAGCAGCAGCAGCGGCGGCACTCATCTGCGGGGAGATGTTGTGCAGCCCGGCGTAGGCGGCTCCAGGGCTTGTCAACTCCCCATTCATCCCGGCGTGGGGCACAATTCCGAATGGGGTTGGATATGGACAAGGGACAGCCATGGGGGTCCTCAGGCTGGATGCTGCAGACCAAGATGGTATGAGGGCGGGGCACAGTCCAGAACACAAGGAGCAATATTAAAGACACACTTAAACGTGTTAACAAGTACAGTCCACGGTTCAAACAAACTTATTTGAATATTTGCAAAAAAGTCCATCAAGCCTTCAAAGGGCTTCGTTCATTCACTACATAGAATACCTAGTACATACTAAACAAACAGGCTTAGTGCCAGGCTCCTGGTTTGGGACAAATGACACAGCACCTACAGCCACTCAAAGCCAGCCATTACTACATCTAATGTACTGCACTGTTTTGAGTCACGTTAAATTCTTTGAACAACAGAAACATAAAGGTAATACAGAAGGAAACTTCTCTCCTCACTCACCCAAGGGGTCCACTCCTGGTGGTTTTCCAGACACAGGCCTCAGTCCGGGAGTGGAGTTACTGCCTGGGGTGGGTGCATCCGTTCGTGGAGTAGGGGTATTGGACTTGGACACAGGAGTAGTAGATTTTTCATTC